TATCTCCAGGTGTAAAATCCAGGAAAGGGCCTTCAGGTGCTACTCTGAGTTATCACTGCATCTTAACCCATCTAACCTAATACATGTTGCACTGGGTACCTCTGCGCATGTTAAAGACCCTCGACTAAGAGAAGAACAGTGGTCCTTACTGGCTGCAGCCAATGGAAGGACAGAGACAATTAACTTGCCATTACAAACACCTTTACAATACTCAGACAGGAATATTTTTCTCCATACGCACCCCGCAACTCTCTGAATTGACCACCCCCCCACCCTCCCCTCCTCACAAGCTCTGTCTCCAGAGGTGAGTACACATGGAAAGCACTGTGCAAGTGAGCAGAAACCCGTCAAATGCTTTTGGCTGTGTGCACCTCATGCAAGGAGGCAGTGTAGTCGTTCCCCCCCACCCCCCACTGGCCAGGAAGCACCTGGAGCCTGCCTCAAGCAGGGCCTTGGAGGGCTGCTGGCCAGAAACACAGGCTTCTCCTGTGTGAAGGGGGAAGTGGCACTGGGAAGGTGGGAAGAGAAGGTGGGGAGGGGGGTTGTGCCTGTAGGTGGGAGGAGGGAAAGGTCCAACTTACATCGGCAGCCTTTTTCTCAGCCAGCTCCAGCTTTTCCTGGGCATCTTTAAGGGACTCGGAGTATTTGTCCAACTCATCCTCAGTGCCTTTCAGCTTCTTTTGCAGAGCCACCAGCTCATCCTCCAGCTGTGACGTGGGTGGAGAGGAGTGGGGAGGGGGCAGGAGTGCAGCAGGCAGTGTGAGCGCGCAAAGGAGAGGTGCGGGTGCAGAGGGACAGAAAAAGGACAGAGACAGAGAGAGAAAGGGAGAGAAAGAAGGGGAGAGCGTTAGATTCCCTTTGGCTCGTGACAGAGGCACGGTACCTTGGTGGCATTCTCGTCCGCCGAGAGGAGGCTTTCCTCAGCCTTGTGCAGCTCCTCCAGCACCTGGTCCCGCGCATCCTCCGCCACGTGCAATTGCTTTTCCAACTGCACAATATCATCCTCTAGCTAGGCGCGGGCGGCCCGGCGAGACAAGAGGGAGACAATGCACAGACACGTTGCTCCGCCGCCCCGCTCCGCTCCGCTCCCCTCCCGTCCCGTCCCGTCCCGTCCCTGTGCTACAGAGACAAGGAGGAAGAGCCACTTTGGATTCCAAAATAACAGACAGTGTGGATTTCAGATCAACACAAACTACAGATTCAAAGAACGATCGTTATGGTGATGTCAGTTTAAATCCTGTTACTGGTGACTAGCATCTCAGAAGTGTGGGAGCAAGGAGTACCAGCCACTTCAGTCACAGGTTGAAATACTACTTTCCCAAATTCAGCACGCAATTTAACAAGCAAATCCACTACATAATAATGGGTATAGCTTGTTAAGACTGTGTGGAATGCAATTCTGGACCCAAGAGGGTATACTAAGTAAGGCCAGAAAGCCCAAATGTTATGTTCTTCAAGAAGTGGCAGGCAGGAACAACCCGGCAGGGGGAGAGGGAGTCAGAAATATGACTATTGGGTAATAAAGCACCAAGGATAAACAAATCATAGCTGTTTTTCTCAACACTAGTATCCATTTATTTTACTGGATGGATTCTGCTCGTTCTTTATGTACTACCTTTTGTGGTATCCGAAATGCTATTTAATAAGGCACACATCATGTCTCCGTCTATGTGATGAGGATTTAGAATGTGAGCTGATCGATGTGTCAACTTAAACTGCT